CTGGCACTCATTACGTAAAAAGGGCCCGGGATGTCCTGGGGAAGAGATCTGTCTGCAGCTCAGAGCTGGCCTCAGGATGACAGCTCTCCTCTCCTGCCAGGCTACATACAACTAATGCCCTATACTCTGTCCTTACAACACTCTGCATGCTTCTACTAGGCTCACTTCATTGCCAGCACAGATAACAAATATCACAGACATAGACAGGCCACAGCTAAAGCACTAATATCCACTGATCAATAATAAATCACCATAGAGATAGAGAGATAGATAGATAGATAGATAGATAGATAGATAGGAATTCAACTGAACAATAATATACTGTGATAATGTATTTCCCTACAAAGGTAATAATATTAAAAGAATAGACTTACACAATGAGAAAAACTGCACCAAATTCTACCTTGTTCACTTATTTTCCTGCACAAATAGGTCTTCTCTCTCTCTCTCAATGTGTGTATATATATATATATGTGTGTGTATATATATATATATATATATATATATATATATATATATGTGTGTGTGTATATATATATATATATATATATATATATATATATATATATATATATATAGATATATTCAGAGATATATCCTTACGCTATCATCACTGCATACGACTCTGCTGATATTATTGTTATTATTATTATTTTTAGACTGACTCCAGTGAGAGCTGCACATACGTTTTTCTATATAGATATCTTAGCACTACACAAGACTGCTGTGATTGCTTTTCTTTTTCTGGAAAGGAAGAAAGAAAGAAAGAAAGAAAGAAAAAGAAAGAAAGAAAAGAAAGAAAGAAAGAAAGAAAGAAAGAAAGAAAGAAAGAAAAAGAAAGAAAAAAAAGAAAAAGATATAGATAGATAGATAGATAGATAGATAGATAGATAGATAGATAGATAGATAGATTTAGCTGATTTGCTAAAGGAGTACCAACTGTTCACTTAGAAAAGTGAATTTTATTGAGCTTGATATATAACTTGAATCTATGCTCACTTTGAATACCCAATCATGTGCAAAGGAGATTAAAAAAAATCTGTATTTTTTTTATCTTACACACTAGGCTAGGTAAATACAATTTTATCGTATTTACTAAACTCCGTGAAAGCTTCTATTTCATTAACAAATCCACCCCATTTCTACAATGCTGATCTATTTTCCCTGCCCACACAAATAATAAATAGGAAAGTGAGACAGAAAGAGAAAGACACATAGACACAACTCCTAGTTGATACAGTATAACTCACAAATCAAGACGAGAAAAATGACATATTACAAGAAATGCATATGGCCTATACGTGCATGGGAGGTAGCATGGAGAGTTCTGTGACACTTTAATGTTTTATAGAATTTTCTACATAATATATAATAAATAAATGTTGCATTTTAGAGAGTCCAGACTGCCTTATAATACACAGACCACTTAGTGTAAACCATGAGCTCTGTCGAAGTCTAATGTATACAGCTCCTGTTCATGATTAGAACATAAATATACACTCTAAAGACAACTCATAATAATAAACAGAATTCATATAATATGTAGCTGCGATCTCTGATTATTATAGTAGTGATTAGTGCGTGGAATATAGCACTGCATACGGGTTTGTAAGGACTATAATTCTAGATACAGAAAGCAGTAAGTAGACAGTAAATTGTCATAGGAGGCTCGATTCAAAAAGCTACACAAATATAAGAATCTTTATTTTAGTCCTGAGATTGTAATTTTTAAATCTAATTGTACTAAGCTGAAAATAACTGTCAGTTTTTGCAAGAATCCCTATAGCTTGTGAATTAAAACTCGTAAGAGCGGACAGAATTCTACATTCACATAAAATAAATAGATTCTATATCTATCTATCTATCTATCTATCTATCTATCTATCTATCTATCTATCTATCTATCTTTATACATTATATTATATTATATTTAGGTCCCACAGTCACCCCATCTTTGAGCCCGCTGAATATACAGCAGCCTGCATTGGATGTACAGCACTTTCCCTGCACACCAAATATAATATACTGTATAGACAGCACTACAGCCTGCGACACCGCCATAGGGGAATGATCACCACCCCGGACATCAGCAATATGAAAACAAGTCTGACACTTTTGACCTGTCAGTATATCAGAGTTCTGTCATACTGGGCAGAAAACACCAGGAAAAATAACCTCATAACTATTATAATTGATACATTGAGTCAGGAACAGCTGCAAAAATAATCCGATTAAATCCATATATAAATCACTATAATTTAATATTTACAATAGTAATAATTTAAATAACATATTTGGCTTATTTACTAATGTGCTAACATCATAAAACGTGTGTACTGTAAATAGCAAGAAAAATCCTTAGTTGAGAAAAGTGTGAGGCTCTAACGTTTTCATTCTGCAGGTATTGTATATAGAAATCAATCTTTTTTTTTTATTTGCAAAACCAATAAACAAGTAATTCCAGCACTCACAGCTACACATAAGGATGGACGACTAGGATAAAAGAAAAAGAATATTTTATTGGGGGATTTACAAGGCTAAAAATACAACCAAAACATAAAATCCAAAAAAAAGTGCTAACTGACTTTAGTTTGAGAAAATTGGTCCCACGTATCGGCCATACACAGATCAGAGTGTCAGCAGATAGTCCTCGGAGGGGGAGAAGAGCCATAACGGATTCTGCTGTACAAAACACAAACTGGGCACCAAAATAAAATGCCTGTGCGCCAACACGTCTCAACGTGAGTTAACACGCCATGCGGTAACACCCGTTTAAGCATGTATTTTCCGGGAGTGTAGTGTGAACAAGCTCATGTACAAAGTAGATGTACTAAAATTGGTGCACTTATCTCGTGCAGCTGTGCATGGTAGCCAGTCAACTCCTATTCCTAACTTCAGCTCCTTCAATTAAGCTTTGATTTCTATGCAGAGTTGCACCAGATTTTGAACTCTCCAGTTTTTACTAAATAACCCCAAAAGTGACTGAAATGGACACTAATGTAGTTTATGTATTGAAAGAGTTGCTGTTCACTTATCAAGGTGAATTGTCACTTTCCAAACTGAATGATAGTAAATAAGATGAAGATTTGTTACTTTTGAATACCCAATCGTGTGCAAAGGACATAAAAAAAAACACAAAACAAACAAAAAAATATTTTTGCCAACACATTGGGTATGCAAAGTGTACACATCTTCATGTTATTTACTGGCAATCTGCTTGGTAAACAGCCCTTAAAATCAACCCCACAATTTTCTCAGTCATCCTACAAGAAGTGATTGTACTAGTGTTGTGCAGTCGGTTGATTTTGCTTCGGGATTTGTATACTGTCAATATAATGTATCAACTTACAGGAAGGTGAAAGACAAAATGTTGCCATCTTTGTATACAGAAAAAGAAAAGAATGGGCCAATCTATTTGTGACAAGCAAGGAAATAGTGACATGTCCTTATAGAATGCTAAGTGGAATCGGTATCTGCTATGGGGGGTAACTTGTGGCTATTGTAAAATCAGATCTCATGTTTATAGATTATAGATTTATTTGGTTGCTCTGTTAATGCCCCCAAAATGTGGAATAATGCTGAAATTCTGAAACATATTGCCAGAATCATCTGAATTGCAAGATGCCCAATTGTCTAGCTATCATCACATCTTACACTACAGATGTCTCAAATACACTGTTGAAATGGCCATAAACCTTCAATAACATTGGGTGGCTGTATCGATAAACCGGGTTCCCTTTGCACTGTAGTTTTGAAGTTCATAAAATTGGAACAAACCTGGAACTGTAGCACATTCCAATGAGGCTAATTTACTAAAAGAGTTGTGGATCTTTACATAATTGTTTGAATATTCACTTTAGGTATCCAGTCGTGTAAAAGAGAAATGCCTGTTTGTTTTATGTGCATATAAATAGATACTTGATGCGAATTTTCTCACAATTTCTGGCGTGAAGATATCCAACTTCTTTAGTAAATCAGCCTAAATGAACCAAGTTTTTACTTCTGAAAAAAACCAAGACATCTCATTGATTACCTGCTCCACTTTGCTCCAGTTTTATGCTACGGGCGCCACAAGCTGGGGTGGAACTACAAGACCCAGCACTTCCCAGGGTATCATGCTGAGACTGGTAGTTGTCCAGCAGCAGAAGAGCTGTAGGATGCCTGCTCATGACCAGCACAGTCTGTGTATGTGTACCATAGCTGTATGCAGAATGTGTATGGTATGGCTTCATATCAGTGTAAACATGGAGGAAGTGTCACAGTTAGACAGGTATATCACATTAATATACAATGATACACTTACACTGCCTTCAGCAGAGGGCTGTAATAAAATCAGTTCCCAGTGTCTCTATGGCACCAAGCCTACAATAATCCTCAACTACAAAAAGAGACTGGCATTAGAAGCTGAATCTTCTTAAAGAGAAATGTCTGTCTTCAGAGGGCTATCCAGGGGTGCGCATTGTTGGAGTCTTTGTGGGGTTCCCCAAATTGCTGGACTGTGGACTCTCAGAATTAGGATGCACTGTATAGGTAGTTCCGCAGTTCAGTCTTCTGGTGTCTGCCCAGACTGGTAAACTGTGGGATCTTAGTGCTGGGGTGCACTTTGTAGATATGCCCTCAGATCAATCATGTAGGACATCCCAGACCGGTGAACTGTTGGATCTTAGTGCTGGGGTGCACATTGTAGATAGGTCCTCAGATCAATCATGTAGAACTTCCCAGACTTGTAAACTGTGAGATCTTAGTGCTGGGTACACATTGTATATAGGTCCTCGGATCAATAATGCAGGGTCTCCACAGTCTGCTGAACTGTGGGTTCTCACAGCTGGGATGCACTTTGTAGTTAAGTCCTCAGATCAGCCTTGTGGGGTCTCCCTAGACTGGTGGACTAGGGGTTCTCAGAGCTGTGATAAACATTGTAGATAGATCCTCAAATCAGTTATGTAGGGTATCCCCAAAGTTGGGTGAACATTGTGGGTTCAGTCTGATAAGGTCCTCTCTCAGAGGTCTATTCTGGGGTGCAGGGCGCTGTGTTTGGTTTCATGGTCCCAGTAGGAACAGTGCATCATAGACAGCTCGGTGGGTTGCCTGGCACAAGGGAACTGCACCCCATTAGGAGTTGCTGCAGGTGGGGGAGCGGGGCTGGCCGGGCTCAATTGCTGTGGGTGATGAGCATGCGGGTGGTGATGATGGTGGCTCATGCCATTGTAGGAGTTGACCATACTGGGTAACGACATGCTCTGTACTCTAGAATATGGACTGTAGGAGGACGATGCCGACAGTCCCTTCACATTGACTGGACTCACATTGCCCCCAGCCATCTGACAGGAGGTGTAGGACATAGGGGTTGGAGGTTGCCCCAGGGACCATGAGTTGTTCATGAAGGTGGACTGCAGGTACTTGGGTGGGGACAGGTAGCCGTAAGTGTCACTGCTGAACAAGCTCTTACCTGCCTGGAAATGGGTAGGAGGGGGTCGGAATGGCCTTTTCATCCGCCTTCTCCTTCTGTAGTTGCCCTTCTCGAACATATCCTCACATGCCGGGTCCAGGGTCCAGTAGTTGCCCTTCCTCTCTCCACCACCCTCTCGGGGAACCTTGATGAAGCACTCATTCAGGCTGAGGTTGTGCCTTATACTGTTCTGCCAGCCCTTCTTGTTTTTCTCATAAAATGGGAATTTGCTAATGATGTACTGGTATATGGCAGAGAGGGTCAGTCTCTTCTCTGGGCTTTCCCTGATGGCCATGGCAATCAGTGCCACATAGGAATAAGGAGGCTTCTGAGAAGGGTCCGGCTTGTCTTGTCCCTTTTCCTGGCTCAAGTCATCCTTGTCTCTCTCCACCTCCTTGCCTCCATTGGAGTTGTGGGCCATCAGAGCCACCGTGTTCTCGTCAGATGCCTGGTAGGAAGCCATGGTGGCACCTCTCTGACCAAAGTAGCTGCCCAGACTGGAATATTCCGAAGAGGCTGAAGTGACACTCATAGGAGAAAATGGAGTTCCATATGCCACCAGCTGCTCTCAGCTTTTGGTTTGACAGGCGGTGTCTTCTAGAAATCAGTGGTCCACTTTAGAGGCTGGCAAGTAAAGATGAAGGGTCAAAAAAGGTCTTCAGGACTCCAGACCTGGTTATAGAGGTCCAATGTCCTGGAGCAGAAGTCCTGGCACTGGTGGAACCAGTTTGTGTGACTCTGTAAAACAGTTCAGATTAGAGGCACTGCAGGGATCGGTGCCTGCGTCCGATGTCACTTGCAGAGCACTGAAGTCCAGGCGCTGCTTCACGGTCCCCAGAAGACTGCCTCTTGTAGCAAGGAGCTCCTCTAGTTGTTGGGCGCTGGAGCATCAGATGAATCAGTGCTGGCCAAGTCTTGCCCTGTCTCGTGTTCCTCTGTCTTTGCAGGAGGCTGAGACCTGTGACTGAGGATCCTTCCTCTAGTTTCATTGTATTAGAAGTCAGCCAAGTTCCGCTTCCGTCAGCAGCTCCCCCTCTATAGCTGGAAGAGCAGCCTGGGGAGGGAAGGGTTCACCTCCAAGTCACAGACGTCCAACCTGACAGCTTGGAGATCACACCTATCATTTAGGCAGTGTGCAGCTTGGGGGCGCACGGACCTCTCACCCCTGTCCCAGACCCTGGACTGCCTGCATCTTTAACCATTGCTCAGCCACCCTTACCTCCTAGCTCTTTAACCCTTGCTCACCCCCTACCTCCTAGCTCTTTAACCCTTGCTCACCCCCCTACCTCCTAGCTCTTTAACCCTTTCTCATCCCCCCTGGCTCTTTACCCTTCACCCCCCCCCTGGCTCTTTAACCCTTTCTCATCCACCCTTACCCCTGGCTCTTTAACCCTTTCTCATCCACCATTACCCCCTGGCTCTTTAACCCTTGCTCACCCACTCTTACCTCTTGGCTCTTTAACCCTTGTTGCTGCACACTCTGTGCCGGAGCTTTGTGCATAGCCTGCAGATCTTTATGCATAGCTTGAAGCAGAAGCAGATCTACCACATCTGGGCTGCATGGGCTTATGAAGGTGTTTACCTAATCCAAATGAAGCCTTGCCTCTCTCCCCTTCTAGAAGGTAGACTGGATCCGCCACAGGAGCCCAAAACAAACGTTTCGCTCATTCACTATTTTATTTAACGCCAGATTTATCGCCAGGCTGAGCACTCCACAGAGGATCTGCCTGTCCAGAGATAAGAGGCACCTCTTCATCATCCCTTTGGTGACAGTGTGTGGTGTCTGACAAAAGGACAACCTTTCCGAGGACATTTCACCCTACCAGCTCCCTTCATTTATCGCTAACGAATCTTATTACGGACGGTAAATATTCGCATACTAGAACAAGAAATACATGGACTAATAGGATCAAGGCTTGCATTAATCATGCGAAATGGTCATAATTGTTTGAACAATATTTAATTCAATAATTAACCAACAATACTGATTTTATATTAGTAAATAAGTCCCCAATAAAATTGCTTTATTTTGGCTACAATTTTACAGCTGGAAGATGATATATCTGGCTGTATTTAGATACAACGATTCGTGTAACAATCACAATGTAAAATGTAGCTATTTAAAACAAGCAATCAGGATCACCTATTATAATCATTGTGAATTCTAGAAACTGAAGAGAGACAGAGACCAAAATCCACTCACTGCATTTGCTGACTGCTTACTGCATGTATTTATTTATCTTACTACATTATCTCGTTCACTGTTTGCAGATAGAACAAAGATTGCGTTACAAGGAATTATTAGGATCCACATCTGTCAGAGTAATCAATAATTATTATGATCTGCAACAGTTTTTCTAATCCATTTGATGGGCTATCTGGAGATCCCATAGAGGCAGTTCACATTGCATGTACACATGTCATAGAGAAGTGTTTATTGTTTAAAGAGGACTGTTATTGGGATTTGGAGATAATATCTCACTGGCCAATGACAGCTCAGACACATTACAATTATCAGCAGCATCAATAAAAGAGAGGGGAGTTTTATGAGCTCTGCTCACCCCAGTACTGTGTACTGCAGCAGACCTACTAAGGTCTGCATTTTAATTATTATCATTACATTGCTTAAATAAAACCTCCATGTGTATATGGCCATTATCTATGAAAAAAAACAGGCTTTAGGGAATTTAAACTATACTAATCAATAACCAGTGGCGGTGGGACTACATGGATCAGCAGAAGCTGGCTTGGCATGCTGATGTTTGTTGTTCTACATCTGTTGTAGAGCTCCATAGTAATAGATATGAACATACAGTGCTGAGGGTGCAATGGATGATACAGGTGGATGAGTACGTCACTATTGCCTATATTCTATCTGCAGTCAGGTCGGTATGATGGGGCAGCTATGTCCTGATCACTGCGGCCCAGGCTGACCAGTTATGTCCCGTCAACAATACATCGTACCTTTAATAAGAGGTTGATTTACTAATGCTGTACATTTTTCAAGTAGCTCAATTAAACTGTATTCATCCAATCATATGAAAAGAAAATGTCTATTTTTTATATTCATCTGCACTTAATCTGGCTGCTTATAGGAGTTCAAATGCTGAATATGCTGCTTTAGTAGGTCACCCCAATAAGTCTATTACATATTAAAATGACTAAACACATATTATAAAAATAGTAAAATATTATATATAAAATGACTAAATACATTTGCATATAAATTGTAAAATATTGTTTATAAAATGGTTGAATACAAATACAATGACTGAATGTAATAAAAACAATTTCTATACAAAATGCAAAACATTACATTTATTATACATTGACTATATAACTAACTGCAGAATTATATGGAAAAAAAATATATTTCAATCTCTGAATCATTGGCCATTATAATTTTCCTTCTGCAAAAAAGCTCCGAGTTCACCCCGTCCCCCTCTCTGCTGCTTTTGTGCATTGTCTGTCTTGGTTAGTTCGCAATTCCGGCCATTTGTAATATGGAAATAATCTGTTATCACAAACTATACATAAAAATAGAAACGATGTGTAATACTACTCTGTTATGGGGTATTCATTATAGGGACTCATTACTACCTAATTACTAACCTAATGGCAATAAGCACACTGAATGTAAAGTAAGAACAATCGTGTGCATAGATTTATACAGAATATTAGAAAAAGCACGCAAAGTTACACTTAAAAATAGGAGACAAAAGAAATCGGAAAAAAAGAACGAATATGTTCAACGAATAATAACAGCTATAGCACAGTATATTTTTCTACTTCTACATATTTTTTTTTTATTGTATTTATTTTTATTTATTTATCTTTATTTGACCTAATATTCTTTTTGCACTTAAAAAATTAAAAGTAAATAATAAAAAAAGTTATTTCTGTCATTATAGACTTAAGAAAAAATAATTATACTACTACTACCAATACTACTAAAATATTATTAATAATAATAATAATAATAATATTATTATATTATTATTAATAATAATAATAATAATAATAATAATAATAATCATCATCATCATCATCATTAAAACATAATAATCTTAATACTTTTTATTTATTTATTTGATATGTTTTTTTTTTTAATTTTTTTTTTAATCCCACAATTGTGCATTGGTAACACTGAGGGAAATTCTACACAATCCTCAGGATACGGAGCAGTCATGGTTGTGAGATGTCCACGTGTCTACATAATTGTTTATTATACAGATATCTAATAGGAGATTTCCTGGATATGTTCTGCAGAAATATTTCATTCTGTGCACGAGGAATTTAATATAAAATATCTTGGACGAAGCTGTAATGTTATGCTATTGAAGCGTGCAATGTAAACATTTATCCAGGCAGTTTAATAAGCTCATTTTTGGTGTGGCAGAACAGCTGCTGCTTTCTGCCTGTATGGCAGGATAGGAGATGGCTCTGGGTATAAGTATGGCAGGATAGGAGATGGCTCTGGGTATAACATAAGTATGGCAGGATAGGAGATGGCTCTGGGTATAATGGCAGGATAGGAGAGATGGCTTTGGGTATAAGTATGGCTGGATAGGAGATGGCTCTGGGTATAACATGTACAGTATGGCAGGATAGGAGATGGCTCTGGGTATAAGTATGGCTGGATAGGAGATGGCTCTGGGTATAACATGTACAGTATGGCAGGATAGAAGATGGATCTGGGTATAACATGTACAGTATGGCAGGATAGGAGATGGCTCTGGGTATAAGTATGGCCGGATAGGAGATGGCTCTGGGTATAAGTATGGCCAGATAGGAGATTGGTCTGGGTATAACATGTACAGTATGGCAGGACAGGAGATGGTTCTGGCTATAATGTGTACAGTATGGCAGAATAGAAGATGGCTCTGGATATAACATATACAGTATGACAAGATATAGGAGATGGCTCTGGGTATAACATGTACAGTATGACAGGATATATAGGAGATTAATCTGGGTATATGTACAGTATATGGCAGGATGGAGATGGCTCTGGGTATAATATGTACAGTATGGCAGGATAGAAGATGGAAGTGGGAATAATATATACAGTATGGCAGGATATATAGGAGATTAATCTGGGTATATGTATAGTATGGCAGGATGGAGATGGCTCTGGGTATAATATGTACAGTATGGCAGGATATAGGAGATGGCTCTGGGTATAACATGTACAGTATGGCAGGATAGAGATGGCTCTGGGAATAATATATGTACAGTATGACAGGATAGGAGATGGCTCTGGTATAACATGTACAGTATGACAGGATAGGAGAT